ACCTGTTTACCTAATGAATATATGATGTACATGTGGACGTACTGGGTACATGTTGTACATGTGAACATAATGTGTACATGTTGTACATGTGAACATAATGTGTACATGTTGTTCATGTGCACATATCATAATATTACAACAAATGTAAATGTACGTAATGTTTTCAATGTCTACACTTATATTGATATTATGTATTACATGTGCAATGTGATTTCATAAGCTGTAGTGATTAAGTAATATCATTGTGATATTATAATCTATGGACATGTTGTACACATGATGTACATAACTGTTGTGCACACTTTATATAAATATAATATACATATTAAACAGATTATGCACATGTATTGTACATCTGTATTGTGCACACATATGCACACCAAAATAATTGTACAGATTGTATCTCTATTATATATTTCTTGTGATTCCAATTAATGTACATATGATTAATAAATTTTTGGATATAATTTTTTGCGTATTAAATAGAAATTACTTTGGTGACAAAAGTGGGAGTTCACTCGGGTCTGTATATGGTCTATATGTATACGTTTTGTGCCTATTATGTACTCGCGTACACAACGTACTTGCCAATATTACATGGACATGTGTGACCGTATGTACATAATGTGCACACATAGGTACACGCGAATATATTGTGCATCTGTATGTAATGGGTACATGATGTACTTGATACACATTGTCATTTAAAAATAAATGTAAATGTCCATAATGTTGGCAATACGTACAATTATATTGACATTACATATAACATGTTTATAGTGACTATATATGCTGTTGTGATATGATATCATTTTGATATCACGATAGATATAACTTTTATATTCCTTAGGGTTAGGGTTAATGTTATACATTTTGCAATTTGTACATAAATTTACCCATTATGAGTACATTCTGGGATATTAGTCTTAACACGTTAGATAGAAATAACTTCAATTACCAAAGTGGGTGTACACACATGGCTCTACACAGTTTATACATGTACATACAGTGCATATTATACTCATGTACAGCCGTTACATGTCTAGCTATATGTACGTATGCATACATAGTGTACATAAGTACATACTGTGCACACCCTATATAAACGTGCTATATTGTATATCCATGCCCAATGGGTACATGATGTACATAATTAAGTAATGGGTACATAATGTACATGTGGAAGTACTGGTTACATGGTGTTCATGTGAACATAATGTGTACATGATGTTCATGTGTACATCTTGTAATATTACAATGAATGTAAATAAATGTATGATTATATTGACATTATGTATAACATGTTTATAGTGACTATATATGCTGCTGTGATATGACATAATTTTGATATTACAATAGATGTAACTTTAATATTCCTTAGGATGATAGTTAGTGTTATACATTTATTGCAATTTGCACATAAATTTACACGCACATAAATTTACAACAAAACGCTGCATAGCGTTTCATTTTTGCACTGAGGCCTTTTTGGGCTCCTATGTTGAGTTTCAATTTAAGTGTACCTGCTGCCGAAGTGAGCACATGCCGTGCCCGGCTCTGCTTTTTTTTTCTTTCGGTTTTTATGTTGTTTATGGCAAGTGGGTAGCACTGTGTCGGTCGAGGCCAGTCTCGAATTTGTGATCTCACTGTCCGTTGGGCTCAACATTCCACTGTCATGGGATTACAGGTGTGATGCGCCGAGCCTAACCCAAGTTTTGTTTCCGTTCTGAAGGCGGAAATTTCCCATGTTAATCAAGCGGGTCTCGAACACACATCCTCGAAATATTTTTGCATTTGTCTTCGAAGCACCTAAATGGCAGGTTCCTGTGAGCCACCGTACCTGGCAGGCCGAGTTTCATGTTGACAAAAGAGAACAGATAAACTTTTCCCAGCACTGTGACTAACACCAGCTATCCTAGCCATTTGGGAGGTCGAGGTGGGTGGTTCACCTGAGGTCACGAGTTCCGGGTCAGCCTGGGCATCTTGGTGAAAATGCACTTCACTTAAAAACGAAGAAGTAGAAAAAGAAAATAACAGAAATCAGACAAATTAGTGTGCACAATCTGAACAAAACGAGGTGCCAGGTGGCCCCACTTTACACCACAAATTTCTGTATGACATACTGGTTTCCTCCTGTCACCCAGGCTGGAGTGAAACACTGCAATCTCGGCTTATTGCCACAACTGCATAGTGGGTTTCCAGCGGTCGTTCTGCCGATGCCTCCCATGTAAATGTGATTGAATATGTCAACACCACCTGGAACAGACAACTTTCTGTTTATTTTTGTGAACCTAAAATCTATCTGTATTTGATTTGTACAAAACAGTTACAATGGCAATACTAATGAATAAATAGAAAATGGCACGCTGCGTAGCATTTCATCCTTGCACTGAGGCCTTTTTGGGCTTCTATGTAGAGTCCCAATTTTAGTGTACGTGCTGCCAAAGCGAGCACATGCCGTGCCCGGCTCAGCTTTTTTATTTCTTGGTTTTTATGTTGTTTATAGCGACGCGGGTAGCACTGTGTTTGTCGACGCCAGTCTCGAATTTGTGATCTCACTGTCCGCCCGGCTCGACATTCCACTGTCATGGAATTAAAGGGTGTGATGCGCCGAGCCAAACCCAAGTTTTGTTTCCATTCTGAAGACGGAAATTTCCCATGCTGGTCAGGCGGGACTCGAACACGCATCCTCGAAATTTTTTTGGCATTGGTCTTCAAAGCGCCTAAATGACAGGTTTCTGTGAGCCACCGTAACTGGCAGGCCGAGATTTATGTTATCAAATTGAAACAGGAGGCTTTGCACAGCACTGTGACTAACACCAGCTATCCTAGCCATTTGAGAGGTCGAGGTGTGCTGTTCACCTGAGGTCACGAGTTCTGGGTCATACCGGGCACATCTCGATGAAACCAACTTCAACTTAAAAAAAAAAGGAGAAAAGAAAAATAACAGAATCAGACAAATTAGTGTGCACAATCTGAACAAATGAGGTGCCAGGTGGCTCCACCCCACCCCCGCCTTTCTGTATGATGTGCTGCTTTTCTCCTGTCACCC